CCCTCCGGGGATATGAATTAGCTCACCCCAAAACTGAAAATGAAACACATTGGAGCATGCAAATCAACTGATCCTGCAAATACAAAGCTGCAAGATCTCCATTACACATGATAACAGGATATCCAAGAGGTGCCCCAGTGAGAGTCCCGCATCCATAGTATAACGTAAGACAGAGACCTCAAACCAGACCAAAAACTCATAACAATTAACACTTGTAATTAAAGATGTACTGACAAAAGACCATACTGTATGGCTCACTGGGCTACGCTACAGCTTCCATGATGTTCTTTTACCTTTTAAATTTTATTTTATTTTATTTCATTTGGTGGCAGGGGATTGCAAGTGTAGAGGATGGATATGAAGGCACTTGGATATAAATAAGATTGAGAAGTAGGATGTGCAGACCTCAAAGGATCAATAAAGTATTTTTAAATTATCCTAAAATTAGTTAATTGTAATATCTGTACAATATTAATGGGTGTTGATTTATACACTTTCAGTGGTGAATTGTATGTTTTATAAATTATCTCAAAACATACAAAAAGGAAACTTGTGAAACAGATACATGTACATAGTTATCATCTCTGATAAAGGGAACATATGAGTCTCATAAAGACAGGATAGTCTGAATTTAACACACACACACACACACACACACACACACACACACACACACATACACACACACGCACACCGTGGTAGTATATGGGGAATTATTTTGGCATGGCAGAACAGTAAGAATAGTGAATAGAGATGGGGAAGCAAATAGAGGGTGAGGATGAAGAAAGAACAGTGACATACATGATTTAAATTTCATGATAAATTTTATTATTTTACATGTTATTAAAATATTAATTGAGAACCAATTAATTTTGATGAAATGAAATTAACTGAATAGTGACAAAGCAATCTAAAACATTACATACTTTTCTGGATATTTGGAATAAAGGAGTTTTAAAATCAAGCTGCTCCCCATGATAAGGCTTAAGTAATGTCAGAAAAACATCTGAAATTATTCTAGTGTGTGTTCAGCCTATTTTTTTTAACCTGCTTTAAAAAATGACATAACTGAAGAAGGGGGAAGCTCTTGAACTCCAGACTGATGGCTGGGAATGCAGCATGGGAATGATCCAGATCCCCTGAATGTGGTATCAGTGAGGAGGCCTAGGCAATTTATGGAGCCCTGGGTACTAAATCAATATTTGTCCTTGGCATACAAATGGACCATGTCTGCCCATCCCACAATGAGAGTTTGTCTCTTAGCCTAGACACTTGGGGGAGGGCCTAGGCCCTGCCCTGGATGAAATGGCAGACTATGGACACCCCCCCTTGCAGGGCCTCACCCACCCAGGATAAAGGAGTGGGGCTTGGGGAAGGGAGGAGTGGGGTTGGTGGGAGGGTGTGGGACAAGGGGAGGGAGACACAGAGGGACCTGGGACTGACATGTGAAGCAACCTTGTTTCTAATTTAAATTTAAAAATAAAAATGTCATAAAAAGAAAAAAAAATGCCATAAGAGTCAAACTTACTTGCCTTGAATTCTTCATGTTATTCAGTTTATAATCTAAGCTAATGCATAGCTGTAACCTTAAATTTCACATGCTTCTATGTCCTTGAACAAAATCAGTGCATGTATATCATTAGCATCAACTATAGAGAACCTTCTAAAATCTACAATAAAGTTTGAAAGCAACATTTATGGATACAGGTTGACAAACAATGATGGTTTTTCTAGTGCTGCTTGTTGTCTGGGTCATTGGGGATCAGTTGGAGCCAGTGACTTAATCCTTTGTAAAATTCAGTTAAAAATTACTGTAACATTCGTACACAATGTTATGCTTTTTGTGCTATTCAGTAACAACAGAATGAAATCCTGTTGATAGAAAAACAAAGAAACCCACATACACATGACACATAATTAAGTCAGCTTTCAAGAAGGAACAGATTCAACTCCTACAAGAGACAGATGGGATGGAAGACACAAGGTGAATGACTTACTCTTTCTTAAATTTCATAATAAAGTCTGTTATATTATATTTTCTTAAAACTAATACAAAAGATATTTTGTTAAAATAAAATCAATGACATAAACTTAAGATTTGAGACTGCTACCCTACTCTGTACTCAGTTTGTTTGTTTAACCAGCCTTTAATAGAATGACATCAACAATCTACTTTACTTGCCTTGGATTTACCAGGTAATCATATTACAAGCTAAGCTTTTATGTCTTTCTTTTTTAAATAATTTTTATGTATCTTTTTACAATGCTACTCTCATTTCCCTCTCCCTCCTTTCCTACCCTGGCCTCCTAATTCTACCAATGTCCTATCCCACTCCATCCCCTTTTAGCTTCTCAGGGAGAGTAAGGGCTTCATGTGGGATTTTCAAAGTCTGTCATATCATTGCTGGCAGGGCCTAGGTTCTCCCCCATATGTCTAGGCCGAGAGAGCATCCCTCCATGTGGTATGGACTCCCAGATTCTATTTGTATGCCAGGAATAAATAAATAAATAAATCTACTCTCCAAGGACCTATAGATGCCAAGGCCTCTTCTCTGACACCCAGGTTCTGGGAGGGCAGTGTCAAGATCAGACCCATGCTAACCTCTCAGTCATCAGTCTGGGTCCACGTGTTCCCCCTTGTTTAGGTCAGCTGCCTCTGTGGTTTTCCCCAGCCTGGTTGGACTTGATTCCTTTGCTCATCACTCCTATTTGCAACTGGGTTCCAGGATTTCAGTTCTGATTTTAGCAGTGTGTGTCTGCCTCTGCTTCTATCAGCCACTGTATGAGGGTTCCAGGATAGCATATAAGGTAGTCATCAATCTCATTATCAGGGAAGGGCATTTAAGTTAGCCTTAATGCTGTTGGTGTCTTTGTTAATGTGATACTGATGCATTATTGAACACTAAGAATGTATTGCTAAATGTGTTTAATTCATGCTACTCTGTGTGTGTGTGTGTGTGTGTGTGTGTATTTGATGTTGCCACTGGATCTGTTCTTCTGTAGATGTTCATTTTATTAAGTAAGACTGTAAGTTCCAGTTTCTATTGCTGTGAAGACACACCATTGCCATGTTAAATCTTATACAGGATAAACATTTAATTGTGGGTGGCTTACAGTTTCTGAGATTTAGTCCATTATCATCTTGGTGGGAATTGGTGGTATACAGGCAGACATGGTGCTGGAAAAGGAGCTGATCCTACATCTTGACCCTTAGGCAACAGGAAGTGGTCTGCACGCCACACTGATTAGAGCTTGAGCAAAGAAATTCTCAAAGCCCAGCTGCACAGTGATATACTTCTTCCAATGAGGCTATACCTACTCCAATAAAACTAGACCTTCTAGTAGTGCCACTTCCTATGTGTTTATGGGAACCAATTACATTATAAGGATAACAGCAGCTAAGTGGGTATCAGTTAAGTAGTGATCAGTTAAGTAGATAAATAAGACATTGCTGAGAGAAAAAGAACACAGCACAGCGGTGTAGTTGAATCTTATTTCTCTGTCTCACCCATTCTCACTGCATAAGCTTTTCTCCCACCTGCTGCATCCCCATAGTCACTTATGGAAAAATTACTCAGAGACTAATATATTACATATAATTTTTTGGCTAATTCTCAGGCTTTTTACTGGATAACTGCAACTATACATTAACACATTTTTAATAGCTTACATTTCTCTTAGAGGTTTGTGGCCTGTTACTTTACATCTTGTTTACCAGGCACCTCACTGACTCTGCCTTTCTTCTCTACGCATCTTTGTTTGGATTTCCTGACCACCAACATTTTTCCTGGTTATTGGCTGAAGTAGCTTTATTCATAAGCCCATAAATCAATGCATATTTTCAGCATACAGGAAAATATCTGTCAAAATAAAAAAGGAAATTACTAATTTTAACATAGTAAAATTACATATAACAGCTATCAATCAAGAATTACAGTTACAATATTTAGTCTATGTATAATGCAGACATTTACAATATTATTATGGAGATTCATTGGAAAACACGGACTCACAAATACAGGACAATGTGGAAGCCGCTGTGAGTTAAGCTGCTGTGTCCTGCTGTTCTGCTCAGGGGAGATGTGAATGACCACAAGGCTTGCTTCTGCTCTGACCTCCCAAGAGAAAGAGTGAGACTCCTCATACTCACTGTAAAAATCCTTTCTGCACACAGAAGCCACACCCTAAGGCTGGTACCACAAAACTATTAGTGGAATGAAATCTCACAACAGAGTGGAAAAAGCACCAAGATGGAAGCCCGAAGTGAGTCACAATTCCTATGCAATGATTCTGTGTCAACTTTCTCCTTAGTATTCTCATCATCGGAGATTACAGTTAGAACTTGGAAGGCAAGTCATTAGGAATATTAGGTTCAAATCTCCCCATCCACAGTAGGATTCTGGAATCCAGTAACTAAGTTATACTGTTTTATATTAATTTTCCTTCACATTAAATGTAAGTAGAGAAAGTTTTGATATTCAGGTTGAGAGGTGATTCACCTGGAAAATGCCAAATTTTCCAGTTTTACAATGTAAAGTAATACATTTTGATTTACAAATATAGAGTTAAAGGATGCCCATGGAATTTGAGGATGCCTTCCTGCAGTCACCATCTATATTTTCACACATTCAAATCATTTGATTGTTATTTATATCCACATCGAAACACAAATTATTATGTTTTTCAGACACACCTGTGCTTCTTAGTGTCTTGAAAACATAACTTCATTGGTCAAATTAATGCCAGCATATGTCTTGAAGCCCTGCTGTAAAAACCCCCAGGCTAGATTAGTTCTTTCATAACAGTTAAATGGATTTGCTGAAATTTCCTCTCAACTATTTTTTCACACCTCTCCAAAAGCAAAACTTCTTCCCCATGACTTCACTCTGTGTTCTGAAAAAGAAATAGTTGTATACTTAGTGCACTTGTTAAATCAAGCAAGTATAATTCTCAGGTTATTTGTTTACACATTGAAATTTCTAGCACACTATTTATTTTTGGTTCTTTCTGTCAATTGGCTCAGTCTGTGCTGCAGTATCAGGTTGACATGTGATTGGAATGGTATAATATTCTTTGACAAACTATAATTTTAAAAGTTGGTTTAACATATTTTCTTCATATTAAGGGGGTACCAGGTATTAAACTGATAAGAAGAGATACTCTACTTGATCTTTGGTAAAAAGCTAATATGATGCCAATATATTTTTCTAACCATACTTGTGTTATATGCACACTATGGAAAGCTGTGTACACAGAAACTCAGTTGAGAATTTGGCCCCAAAGGAAAGTCAGTTCCTGAAATCATTGAATTAAATTTCTGCCTCTGAGAATCAGAGAATATATTAATTGGATCTTCAGAATTACTTTTGTAACCCATGGGGTTATTTTAAATCATTACGTTATAGATCTCTCTACCTTGATACTATAATATATGGTACATACATATCCAACGGTGGTTATTTTTTGTATTTTGGTGAGTAAAAATTTATCTTGAATGTTTGTCTATTTTCTTATCACTTTATAAAATGTATTTGTTTGCTAAGGTGCCCATGACTATTCTATTCATATTTTGACATTAACATGTTACTGACGACTCCACATCATATGCATGTTCTTTAAATATATGCTTGGAGAACAAACATGCAGTTATCTGAGTGTGTGATGCATGAAGAATAAGATGTGTGGTTTTATATATTCATCCCTTCCTACACAGCGATAAGGAGGACATTGTTCAAACCCCTGTGGTTTCATAAGCTAATATTTTCATGAATGATATAGTAACATGAAAAGGAGAATCAAAAATCCTCATTTGTTCTAAGATAGTTGTATTGGTTTTGTTTGTTTGTTTGCTTTGTTTCTTGTTTTTTCGAGATACAGTTTCTCTGTGTAGCTTTGGAGCCTTTCCTGGCACTCTGTATGACAGGCAGGCCTCAAACTCACATATATCTAGCTGCTTCTACCTCTAGAGTGTCTGGTGATTGCACCAGCAAACCCTTGAGCTGACAGTTGTATTTTATTGACTCTGTATATCCTATCTTCATAGGAGGAAACTTCATAACATCATAAAACAGCAAATTTCACTTGCATATTTTAGCAATGATTAATATATACCGTGTTATGTATGCTGTAGGAATGGTAAGTGTTTGTTTACTGCTATAAGCTCCTATAATGGGGCAGAATAAATAAATGTCACTTGTATGTGCACTTGAATAAGACTTAGAATAAAAAAAACACACAGGAAAGGTGGGTGTATACTGAAAAGAAAATCTGTTCCACAGATGAAAAGAAGGACTTGAAGAAATGAATGGAATTTGATGGGAATATAGAAAAGAAAGCACTAATCCCATTTCCTGTCACATTCAACTGGCAAGGTATAAGAAATGGCCTCCGTAAACCACACTGCAGGCATGGATTTCATTCTTGTGGGACTGACAGACAGCCCAGTTCTGGCGAGGATCCTCTTTGTGGTGTTTCTGCTCATCTTTGTCATCACACTGGCAGGAAACCTGTGCATGATTGTGCTGATAAGGACCAATTCCCACCTGCACACGCCCATGTACTTCTTCCTTGGACACCTCTCCTTTGTAGACATTTGCTATTCTTCCAATGTTACTCCAAACATGCTGCATGGTTTCATCTCAGACAACAAGGCAATCTCCTATGGTGGATGCTTCACACAATGTCTACTCTTCATTGCTCTGGTGATCACTGAGTTTTATATCCTTGCTTCAATGGCACTGGACCGCTATGTGGCCATTTGCAGTCCTTTGCATTACAGTACTAGGATGTCCAAGAACATTTGTGTCTTTCTAGTCACATTCCCGTATGTGTTTGGCTTCCTGAATGGGCTCTCTCAGACTCTGCTTACTTTCCAGTTGTCTTTCTGTGGTTCCCGTGAAATCAACCACTTCTACTGTGCAGACCCTCCTCTCATCATGCTGGCCTGCTCTGATACTCAAGTCTTTTTTTAAAAAGATGGCCATGTTTCTGGTAGCTGGCTTTACTCTCATAAGCTCTCTCTTTATCATTCTTACGTCCTACTTTTGCATTTTTGCAGCCATCTTGAGGATCCATTCTGCTGAAGGTAGACAAAAAGCCTTTTCTACCTGTGGTTCCCACCTGACAACTGTAACTGTATTTTACGGAACACTTTTCTGCATGTATTTAAAGCCCCCATCTGAGAAATCTATAGAGGAGTCCAAAGTGATTGCAGTTTTTTACACCTTTTTGAGCCCATTGTTAAACCCCTTGATCTATAGCCTAAGGAATAAGGATGTCATCAATGCTATGAAGCAGTTGATTAAGGGAAACTTCTGTCAGAAAATTTTAGTTTAGCAAGATGATTATGTGTTAGTACTTGGTAAGTATTTCAGACTTCTCTTTTACTATCACATATCAATAATAGCCATCTTTTTAAACAATTTTCTTTTGTAGTTTACACCTTCTTGTTTTTTTTTTTAGATCAATCTACCTTATTGGCATTATGAAATGAAAAAATTTCATAGTATTCTTTACTTTCTATTCAAGTTCACATATAAAAACATTGTCCAAAATTATAAGCAATTTAGTTTCTAATCAACATGTTCTAAAGAGAACAAGGGAATCTAACACTCTAGGAATGAGGACATGCTTTCAGGGATGAAAAAGTACCAAAATAATAAATGATTTTGTTGGTTTTTTTTCAAGTGTTGAATTTTTTTTCTAGTATTAGGAACACTACAAAATTATTTTTAATGTGTGACTCTTCAATCAAATCGTGTAAAGCAAATAATGAATCATTACTCAAAACAATATTTAATTCCCATTTTATATGACCATTTCACTTATATATTCTTTTTTTATATTTTATTTTCCAGTTAAAATTTAGATAAGAAACAAGGTTGCTTCATAAGTCAGTTCCAGGTCCCTCTCCCTTTCCCTCCCCTCCTCCCGTGCCCGCCCCCCACAACCCCCCCGTTATCCCCTCATTCCCCCAGGGAGGGTGAGGCCCTCCATGGGGGTGTCCATAGTCTGTCATTTCATATAGGGCAGGGCGTAGACCCTTCCCCAAGAGTTCAGGGTGAGAGTGCACCTCACATTGTTCTAATGGAGTCCAAAGTCCGTGTGTATACTTGGGATGGGTACTGATCTGCTGCCCAAGGCTCAATAGATTACTTGGCCTCCTCACTGACACCCACATTCAGGGGGTCACTTATATATTCTTAATGATACAATGTAGGAGTCATTGTGTCTGTTTATGTTACATGGAATCTTTGGCACAGAAGTAAGTAGACTTACATAGAGTCTATCAATAGTACAATAGTATAAATAAAAATCCTGTATTTTCTCTTTCCCCCTCTGTTATCATAACTTTGGGACCTATTAGTTTCAATGCACCAGAATGCTGGATTGGATATTGAAAATAATGTTTCATAAGGTTAAACCTTTGTGTACTTATGTGAAGGAACATTTATAGATGGCTATGCTGTCTGTGATTACATTTTAGAAATATATAAGACCTTGTTTTCTGATGTTTCCAGGTAACATGATAATTTTGTTTATGGGGTTCATATTGGGGATTGGGAGGGAGAGGGGGGCGCCTGGTGAGCGGGAGGTGGACCAGGTGAGGGAGAAGCAGCTGGGATTGTGAAGCAAACTTGCTTCTAATTTAAATAAAAAATGAAAGGAAATATTTTATTTGTTCATATTAAATTAGAGAAATTTTAACTAGGAATGCAGGATAAATGTGAAGAAAAACTTTATGATCTTTACATCTAACACTATGAGTGACATAGATTATGCTCTATAATGGTTTTAAATAAATTCATGTTCATATGTTTCAATAAAGCTTATAAAATGAAATAGAAATCTTATGTCATACATGAAAATCAACATTGATTTTCAGAAGAAAGTACCATGTGTACACTTAAATACATAAATAATTGATTGTTTTATACTTATAACTGTCATTTGGTATTCAAGAAAACACATAATGAATATGGAATAACAAATGTAAAACTATTGAAAGACATAAGCAATCAAAACAATATTTACTTGTAGGTTTCACTAAAAGACATATTACAAAGTGATATAAAAATAATTTTACTATGACATCCATGTACAAAATAATTTTATTTTTCTATTGCTGTTTAAATCTTCTCTTCATTTACTATGCGTTCGTGGAATCAGTATTTCTGAAGTAAATATTATGAGTATATATATATGCTTTATTTTTTAATTCATTTTGTATATTTACTGTATTTCCTCCTCCCCCTTCGTCCTACTCTCCCCAACCCATCTCTTATCCACACTTCAGAAAGGGTAAATCTTCCCATGGGGAGTCAACAAAGTCTGGCACATTCAGGTGAGCCAGGGCCACGTCCCTCCCCTTGATATCAAGACTGAGCAAGTCATCCTACCATAGTAAATGGGCTCCAAAAACCCACTCATGCATCAGGGATAGATCCTGGTCCCACTAACAGGGGTCTCATAGACATATCAAGGTACACAACTGTCTCCACATGCAGAGTGCCTAGTTAGGTCCCATGTAGGCTTCCCAGTTGATGGTAAAGAGTCTGTGATCTCCCAGGAGCATGAGTCAGGGGTGACTGTGGGTTTTCCTGTCATGATCTTGACCACCCTTGCTCATGTTATCAATCCCTCTTCCCTCTTTCCAAATGGATTCCCTCAGCATGAATACAAAGCAAGAGACCCAGATAAAGACAATTTGCATATTTTAAAATATATTTCCTTTGGTTTATATTGTGCTTGTGTGTAGGGTAGAGAATCACAATTGTCCAAGAGCTGGCAGGCAGAGGTCAGAAGATGGGTCTCAGGAGGTGATTCTCCTCCTTCATTCTTTGAGTCACAATGATTTATCTCAAATACATAATTACATTTTTTGAACCATCTCACTAGTTCTATTTTGAAATATTTTAAATCTCTCAATTATTATGTTTTGGTAAATATCTTGTGTACCTAGAAATAATTGAAGGGTCTGAATGCTGACAAAGAATGGAGTGTGAAGACAATACAGTAGAGACTGCACTGTTTGTGTGGATGCAGGGGAGTGGGTCCCAAGGGTGTGAGAGCTGGAAAACTGTCCCCACCCCCATGCTTCCTGCTGCACTGGGTAAGATAGCCAGGGAAGTGCTGGACATCTCATTCTGATGGTGAGGAAGAAGAAGAGCTTGTTGTCTGAGAACCCAATGACCCTCCAGGGCTATGAATTAGCTCACCCCAAACATGAAAATGAAGCACATTGGAGCATGCAAATTGACTGATCCTGCAAATACAAGGGTGCAAGATCTCCACTACACAACAACAACAGGATATCCAAGAGGTGCCCCAGTGACAGTCCAGCATCCATAGTGTAACAGAAGACAGAGACCTCAAACCAGACCAAAAACTCATAACAATTAACACTTGTAAGTAAAGATGTACTGACTAAAGGGCAAACTGTATGGCTCACTGGGCCATGTTACAGCTTCCATGATGTTTTTTTACCTTTCAAATTTTATTTTATTTCATTTGGTGGCAAGGGATTGCAAGTGTAGAGGATGGATATGAAGGGACTTGTAGATGAATGAGTTTGAGAAGTAGGATGTGAAGACCTCAAAAGATCGATAAAGGATTTTTAAATTATCCTAAAATTAGTTAATTGTAATATCTGTACAATATTAATGGGTGTTGCATGATACACTTTCAGTGGTGAATTGTTTGTTTTCTAAATTATCTCAAAGAATACAAAAAGGAAACTTGTGAAACAGACACATGTACATAGTTATCATCTCTGATAAAGGCAACCTATGAGTTTCATAAAGACAGGATAGTCTGAATTTAACACATACACACACACATACACACACCGCGGTAGTATATGGGGAATTATTTTGGCATGGCAGGACAGTAAGAATAGTGAGTAGAGATGGGGAAGCAAATAGAGGGTGAGGATGAAGAAAGAACAGTGACATACATGATTTAAATTTCATGATAAATTTTATTATTTTACATGTTATTAAAATATTAATACAGAACCAATTAATTTTGATGAAATGAAATTAACTGAATAGTGACAAAGCAATCTAAAACATTACATACTTTGCTGGATGTTTGGAATAATGGAATTTTAAAATCAAGATGCTCCCCATGATAAGGCTCAAGTAATGTCAGAAAAACATCTGAAATTATTCTAGTGTGTGCTCAGCCTGTTTTTTTTAACCTGGTTTTAAAAAAATGACATAACTGAAGAAGGGGTAGCTCTTGAACTCCAGACTGATGGCTGGGATTCCAGCATGGGAATGATCAGATCCCCTGAATGTGGTGTCAGTGAGAAGGCCTAGGTAATCTATGGGGCCATGGGTACTAAATCAATATTTGTCCTTGGCATACAAATGGACCATGTCTGCCCATCCCACAGTGAGAGTTTGTCTCTTAGCCTGGACACTTGGGGGGAGGGCCTAGGCCCTGCCCTGGATGAAATGGCAGACTATGGACACCCCCCCTTGCAGGGCCTCACCCACCCAGGATAAAGGAGTGGGGCTTGGGGAAGGGAGGAGTGGGGTTGGTGGGAGGGTGTGGGACAAGGGGAGGGAGACACAGAGGGACCTGGGACTGACATGTGAAGCAACCTTGTTTCTAATTTAAATTTAAAAATAAAAATGTCATAAAAAGAAAAAAATGCCATAAGAGTCAAACTTACTTGCCTTGAATTCTTCATGTTATTCAGTTTATAATCTAAGCTAATGCATAGCTGTAACCTTAAATTTCACATGCTTCTATGTCCTTGAACAAAATCAGTGCATGTATATCATTAGCATCAACTATAGAGAACCTTCTAAAATCTACAATAAAGTTTGAAAGCAACATTTATGGATACAGGTTGACAAACAATGATGGTTTTTCTAGTGCTACTTGTTGTCTGGGTCATTGGGGATCAGTTGGAGCCAGTGACTTAATCCTTTGTAAAATTCAGTTAAAAATTACTGTAACATTCGTACCCAATGTTATGCTTTTTGTGCTATTCAGTAACATCAGAGTGAAATCGTATTAATGGAAACATAATGAAACCCACATACACATGACACATAATTAAGTCAGCTTTCAAGAAGAAACAGATTCAGACTCCTACAAGAGACAGATGGGATGGAAGACACAAGGTGAATGACTTACTCTTTCTTAAATTTCATAATAAAGTCTGTTACATTATATTTTATTAAAATTAATACAACAATTAATTGAAATAAAATCAATGACATAAACTTAATATTTGAGACTGGTACCCTACTCTGTACTCAGTTTCCTTATTTAACCAGTCTTTAATAGAATGACATCAACAATCTACTTTACTTGTCTTG